ATCAGTGTTTTAAATAGAATTGTTCAATTAAAGTTTTAGAATGGTTATTATTTAGTACTGTTCTGTTTTCTTGTGAACATAAATACTAAAATACAAAACTTACTCTAATTCCACTCTTCTCTGTTACATAAATGTGTTTTCTTGTGCTTACAATAGAATCTTCGAGGTCGCGTCTCTCCATGTTCGAATGCATATTTTGCTTGCCTTCTCCCGGTTATTTTTATGGTTAGCGTTTTGCAACTCGCTTTTCAAGCACCTCTTCCTCTTCTATATACAATCAATTACCACGTTTCCGGAACGCTCTTGACCCATAGCAACTTAAAGATAATCAAGTTTCTGATAACGATTAGAGAGGGCTTTCGAGAAGCAAATACATTTAAAGTAATGCGTTATTCAAGCAGACTTATCTAAGTATTTGGTTTATCTTTTAAAGTTTTATCAGTATTTGAAAAGCATTTTGATTTTCGATTCTTGGATATTTTAGTATTCATACGTATGATAACCGCATTAGCGAGAGCAAATAAACTAAAATGAACATAAAAGTTCTCTCGATGTGAAATGAAAGAAATGTTCGTGAAATATGTTATCTTATTGAAGAAAACATGTTTACGTGTTAGCTTTAAATTTCATTTTTTGTGGTGAGAGAGTATAAGGCCGCACAAAAAAGTGTAATATTATAGCTAAGACAAAGTAATACCAGTTATAAAATAATGTTAGTCACCACCACCCCCTTTTCATTATTATAATTATACAAACTAGGCATCTGATGATCGTTCATGTGATATGAAAAAAGCAACAACATTGGTCAACCAGCGTATGCTATTTATATAGCGGTCTCATATTTTACATTGAAATGAGTTATTCATTGACCATGGTTAAACCTCACTTTGAACTTTGAACTTTTGAAGTGAATCACAGAACTTAAAGTGCTATCGTGTTCATGACTAGACATCAAAGAGATATATGGATTTCATCCTTCTGTAAAGTTATTGGTTGAATGAAGCCAACCAATCGCAGCAGGCTGTTGCGAATAAGCTACAAATGCCTTAAAGTTTTGTTTACAGAAGGACTTCAAAAAATGCTCTGTAAACAGTTCTTTAAAAGAAGTGGTCGAGCATGCCTCATAACCTTATCTATACTATTATATTGAATATGCAACATCAGTGCCAGTCTGTCCTTGCTGTTCGTGGCGGCCATACTGAAGTGAACTGTAAAGGTATAAAAACCAAGTGTTCACTCGGGAGCACACGCAGGCTGACAAATAATTTATTCATACTTCACATTACACTATATAACGTCAGATGTCTGAGTTACCTAACAATGAACTGAGAGGTGTAATTGTTTGATGCAATATACTTGTAGTAGGAACTTTGTGATCTACAACTTTGAATGGATGTTATCTTCAGTATTTTTTTAGTTGTTAACCACAAAGCTATACATTGGGTTATCTGTGCTGTGCCTACTACGAGTATCGAAACCCGGTGTTTAGTTATAAACCTTGAAGGCGTACTTTAAATAGCTGAAAATAAACTTTATACACTTTTCAAAACAGCAGCGCAGAGAGTAAGGTGAAAAATCTTTACAAAAGTAAGTTAACTGTCATATCGTTCAAAACAGGATGAAATGTAATACTCTCCCTTCTTATAAACCACCCCCACTATAAACCCTGTTGCGAAAGCAAATTATGTTTATATATACAGTTATGTAACACAGCTGCTAGGTGTATATAGCATTTCATGTTAATTTTTGATTTCCTTTGAACGAAGCCATGGCTGTAGTATTAAGTAAAGTCTGTAAATTTTATTGCCGTTGCCATGATAATATTGGTTGAAGCTATAGCTTTGTTTTGTCGTAATCATAGCTTCAGTATTGTAAAATCTGTAAATTTTTCGTTGTCTAAGTACAGTGTGCACGACATCTTTTGTTTTTGTAACATGACGCAAGCTGCAGCCCTTATCTAGCTCAATTCTAATCGTGCTAAATTTTGAAGATATTTTGACGTAATATCTCCCAAGAAAACAGCTGAGTACTAATATTATTGTTTTAAAATGAGGTATTATATAAGTGTATATTATACATCGTCAAACAACCCATTTTGAGTAAATCATCTAGTAAATATTGTTACGTCTCTGTTCGTTAGTTAATTTTCCGT